GTAATGAAAGGGTAATAGTGTCTTTTAATGCGTGGAATTTATCCACAATAAACTGTGGAATAGTACTTACTGAATAGATAAATGGAAAATCGCTTGTCATTATCTAGTTTTATCACTTTTTCAGGATTTTAAATCCTGAACTGACACATTCATTAATTCCTATTCTGATATAGCGTCTGTAGAAAGTTGCCAGTTCAAATCACTCTAAGATAGTTTTACTATATTGTTTACAACATTATAAGGTATTTCTCCTGCCTTCCTACCGTGCCTTCGTTGTATAGTGGGTCAACACGCTGGGCTGGTATTCCAGAGGTCCGCGGTTCGATTCCCGGCGAAGGCGGAAGGCATTTTTCATCTCCCCGGCTTCTAAAAAAATCCTAATGTCTCCACAGTGGCACCCGAACTAAAAGGGTGTTGGATGAGGATTCTCCAAACCCAGGAGTTGGCGATTGGGTCCCCTAAAAACCCCAGTCGCCCTTTAAAATGGGTAGTATATAAGGTATTTCTCCCGCCTTCGTGGTGTAGTGTTTCTGCACGCTGGGCCGGTATTCCAAAGGTTCGTGGTTCGATTACCGGCGAAGGCGGTTGCTAATTTTTCATCTCTCCGGCTTTTCCAATTAACCTAATGTCTCTACAACATGATCTCACCTAAATTTTAAACTCTTGGTACAATCGAATTTTGTTTTATTTGTAGTACAGAAAATGAATCATTCTTCTTTAATATTTCTTCTTTTTTTTTACCAATGGCGAGTCCTCAGACGATTTCGGTTTCCTCACTCCGAAGGCCAGAAGTGGTGATCACTTTATTATGGAAGCACCTAATAGGTGGGCCACCTATGCCGCCTATGGACGGGACGGACAGTTAAAACCATGCCTTCTCCGTTATTTGAACTTGGACCGTTTTGGTATCGCAGTCATCATATATAATATTTCCATTGAGATGGTTTGTATTCCAGAAATTATGGTAATACAAAATAAATGAATAATAATTACGGAATTAACAGTATTCTTTCTTGGTGGGGGGGCGTTTCTCATGTCGTGTGTTCTCATGATGGAAACTCACACCTTTTCCGTTACCTGTGTAAGTCCTTATTTTCTTGTTGCTTGCTATAGCTTGTCAGTTACAGAGCATGACATTCTGACAGTTTGGAACATTCGTGTTGGGCTGATATTAAGGAATCAGTCTTTTATTAATAACTCCTTCTACGTCTTATGAAACCTAATATTACCGTCTTTGGATGAAGTCCTTTAGTTTCCTTATGTTGTATTTTCTATCAATCAGTGTATAATCTTCTAAATTTTACGATCTTGTACAAAATAAATTTTCTATCACTGTTGATTTTTCGACCGAGAAATGCTATTTTCTAAAAGAAAGAGATGTGTAAATTTCCATTCATTGTTTCCCCCAATTTTCAGATCACATAATTCTACTACTTTTTCGGTCGTATTTAAGTTCCAGTGGAGAATTGAATGAGATAATTAAAGCATTCAGATAGATGTTCTATCAAGAAGCTAAGATTTTACTCAATAAATTCATAAGAGAAAAATCTCATTACTTAATCTCTTATACACTCAATCAAGTTAATTCGGGTACACCGAACTAAACTACTTTATGCACCCGAGTAATCACATTCAAGAATACCTTTTCCTCCAGATATGAATACAACAGAATATATACGCAACAGTTTTGAGTTTAAGTGAAGAAAAAATTAAGTTAATATAAAGAATTTTAAAAAAATGGCGGAAAAGAAATCACTTTCTAAATTTTTATTAGCGCATTAAGGGGTTAAAGGATGACCAGGAGAACTAGAATGGTACTGAATTCGTTAGTTGTTAAAATTACTCTATAGCTGAATACATTATTCTTAGGGACTATCAAAGGACTAGTGTTTTTTAGAGACTTGTTATTTCAGTTATAGCTGAAGAGAAAGAAAATGAAAATTTGAATCACAGGCTCTAGTATGTTTTTTATGCAGACTGATCATTTCAATACAGATAAAAATGTAGTACATAGTTTCTTTTAAGTCGCTTTAGTATGATATAACACGGTACAATCCTGTATTTAAGCCTCATTTATTATCACTGTGGCCACATTTGTTATTCTGTGTCGCCAGAAATTCTTCATCAGTAATACAAGTGTTTCATTACTTACTTTTTCAAATATATATAATATTTAAATATATCATATAATACTTCACAGACATTTAATCTGAAAAATCACGTATATTTGTTTATTTGAATGTAGATATGAAGTGATAGGTATATTAGAATATTTATTTCAAATTTAGTCATTTAACAAATTTTTGCATTGAAAAATTGCCTTCCAGCGGCCGAGCGGTAAACGTCGCTGAACACTGGTAGTTCGGTCCGGTGTCTAGTCCCGGCGATCGGGCTGTCTGTGTGGGCGTTCTCGTGGTTTTCTCCATGTGTAACGTGGATAAGAGATAGTTTCTCTTAAAAAGACCTTCACGGAGCAACCCTCCTTTTCCCTATAGTCCCTAAATACGGAGCATGTAATAAATTTAAAAAAAAAGAAAACGGAAAATTTTTAAATGTAAAATGTAAAAATTACTTATTTATTAAAATTAACCATTTATTTTATGTTACGCATCTTTATCCATATTTCTTTCTTTCTATATTCCGGCCAGAATGCTAATTTTAGATCTCGCGTATTTGAATAAGGTAGAAAAAGAGAGTACTATTTAAAGGGAGGTTTTAGATTAGTTTATTAGAATCAAGCCATACCGAAATTATATAGTATATATATACAGGGTTATTCTAAATTATTTTTATAAATTTAGAGGGGTGATAGTACCCATCCAGACGAGCAATAATTACCATAGAACATTGGGTCGCATTCCACACTGAGAGGCAGAAAAGAGGAATATTTGAATTCCAACCTGAACTTACAACTTACAACAGTGTTGGAAAAGCGAATGAACCATTCCAAAAGTTGTGCAATCAGATTTATTGTTTAGTGAAAATCTTACAGAAAGTGCTCAAAATGTCAACCACGCGTGTCGTTGTACAGTTGACATTGGAAGAAACAACAGGCGCACCCTCCCGAAGATTCCTGGTATCGTGCTAACTTTGTCCGAGGCAAGAATGATTCTCGCCATGAGATCTTCAACTGAGTCCACAGACGTCTCGTACACTGAAAATCTCATCTGCCGCCAGAAAAAAAATGTGCAGTGGGTTGAGGTCCGGTAAGCTAGGAGGCCAAGCCAGAGGTCCGCTACGTCCCATCCATCGTGCGAGATATGTGGCATTTAAAAGGTTACGGACCGTGACGGAAGAATGTGCTGGAACTCTCGGGAACAAACCACGTGTCGCTCTGGATGGAGAGCGTAACAGCTTGTAATAAACTGGGAAGTACTTGTTCGAAGAAGATACGGTATGTTGCGCTGGTCAGACGGTCTGCCATGATGTAAGGGCCTGCCAGGTAAACACCTAGGATACCTGCCCAGACGTTTATGGAAATTTTCTGCTGCTGTTTATTAAGGTATTAACTTCTGGCGAATAGTTACTGCTGGTGTCTCCTTTTCTTTCCACTAAAGTGCAGTGGGGATTGCTGTCAGATCAAACGCGTTGATTGTACCTGTTGGAAATGCCTTCTCTGCTGAATGTTGCCTCATCGCTAAATAATATTAATGCAGGAAATTCTAGATCGTTATTTCTCATTCCAAGCATCCACTTCATAAAGTCTGCTCGGCAGGGATAATCATCTGCACCCAAAGATTACATCTTTTTCACGTGATAGGGGTGCATGCGTTCCTCTTGCAAAATAAGTTGAGAAATACCGCTGTCATATGCCACCGCTCGCGTACTTATAGAAGAGGCTGCTTCAAATCTAATCAAAACTCTCTCTTCCATTTTTTGGCGTTCGTGCATTTCACGAACGTCCTGCATTGCTTTTTGAGATGGCAAAAGAACCGATTTCTCGCAGTCTTCGATTAACACTGGGAAACGTTGCACGACTTCGAATCCGACGAATTGGTATTGGATTGGATTATTTAATTAAGGCAAAGCACACAAGGGCTATCTGCCTAAAGGGAGGGATGCCTTCGTGGAGGACTTTCTAAGGGAAAACTGGCTCGTGTACACGTTACACATGGAGAAAACCACGAAAACACCCAAGCAGCCAGCCCGTTCGCGGGGATTCAAACCTCGGACCGAACTACCAGTGTTCAGCGACTTTACTGCTCGGCCGCTGGTGGGCTGAGCTGACGAATTGAGAAACCGCTGTCCGTACAATCTTCATGCTTCGTGTCCCTTTCCTTTTGCTTCACCGTTTGTGAGGTGAATATCTGCCGATCCCTCGTACGTATACTCCGCCATAGCATTCAAGAAAAGTTTCGGACGATGTTATCAAGGTAATACTTGAAGCGATGACGTGTCTTTTTCAATGACACCATTTACTCTGATTGGCTTTCTCCGGTTCCAACTAACAGCAAAATGCTGCTTTGTCTCAGGGCAAATTTGCATACGGTTAATTCTTGATAGTCTTAGGAGATACATAGTCAGTCTCCTTGTCCTTCCTCGATGCGTCTCCACTTTCTCTTGTCTGCCTCTCAGAGTGGAATGCGACCCTATGTTCTATAGTAATTATTCCTCGTCTGGATGAGTACTATAACCCCTCTTAATTTGTAAAAGCAATTTAGAATCACCCTGTATATGTTTTAATATGTGTGGTGCCCAGACGGTATAGTCGTTAGGTGAACAGACTGTAATACCAAAGGGCGAGAGTTTGAATCCCGAAGAAGGCATGTTCGTAAGTGTCCTTCCTTTGATAGGAGGCAAACGTTTAGCCCTCCTATTAGGACTGCTGCCTAAAGAGACCGCCGTTTCTGTCCTTAATAGTGGCCAAAGTCTATTAGGACTTGGCGCCCGCCACTGTAAAAAATATTCATGTTTGTATATATATATATATATATATATAAAACTACAAAATAATTTAATTTAATTAATTTTTGAAAACAATACACAAACATGTTACATACCCGCCTTATTATCAGACTTAAAAATCTTTACCCGATTTTTGTCTTCGAAATCACTGGTCGCAGTGCAACACTTCCAGTTAGAGAACTGTTAGAAAGAGAGAGATCACTTAGTTAAGTTTGAATAATTCTAGGAAATAAGTGTAAATTAAGTGCAGAAAAAGTATAATAATTCGAGGAAATAAGTTTAAATGAGATGCAGCAAAAGTTTAATAATTCGAAGAAATAAGTTTAAATGGGATGCAGTAAAAGTTTAATAATTCGAGGAAATACGTTTAAATGAGATGCAGTAAAAGTTTAATAATTCGAGGAAATAAGTTTAAATGAGATGCAGTAAAAGTTTAATAATTTGAGGAAATAAGTTTAAATGAAATGCAGTAAAAGTTTAATAATTCGAGGAAATAAATTTAAATGAGATGCAGTAAATTTAAATAATTCGAGGAAATAAGTTTAAATGAGATGCATTAAAAGTTTAATAATTCGAGAAAATAAGTTTAAATGAAATGCAGTAAAAATTTGTATAAATAAATAGGCATGTCAAGGAAGTTATGTGGTGTTTGTTCACATCAGATTGTGTTTTAATACTAATGGAATTTCTTATGTTTGTGACCGCAGATGGAACAAAGCAAAATATATTTCAACTAATTAATTCAACTTTTCTCACAACATCAGAGTAATCAGCTTAATGCAAAAACCTTACAAAACTATATTTTGTATTTTTTAAATATTATAATATTAAATACAACTCTGCCGTATATGAAACCATTTTCAGTTTTCCTAAAGATTATACTTACGCTGTGCTAAAAATTTTTATGTTTCTTTGCTAGCACATTCATATGTATCTTTAAACGCAATATTTTAATACCGCTTAATAAATTCACTCATATTTTGCAGTTAATTTTGGTCTTCAGATTTACAGAGAAACGTCCTTAACTTCCCTTCGCTGCATGTGTTTATGATGTGCCAAATACATTTTGAAGGATTGTGACCTGAAAGTACCATTTCAATTGAAGACAGTTTCAGCCCCTCAAGAATAATTTTATTTCCCGCCAGATATTTTTTCACATACAATATTGCTTCCGCACCCCAAGGGGAGAATCGAAGCAACAAATCTGTAGAATACTTTTAGAAGAATCCTTCAGAAAATAAAAATCGAACATTCGCGAAGAAAAGATGCTGGGAGGACGTCGCAGAAAGGATTGTAGTACTGAAATTCCATTGGTTCAGCAGTTTGAATACTTTGACTTTTTTATTTTCCTTTTTCTTTTCGCTTCTCTTTCAAACTCACGTTTCTCATTGCTTTTGAAATCATCTTAAGAAATCACGGAGACAAAAGAAAAGAGAAATTGATTAGCTAGAATATACTTTGCCTTTACGCATACTATTGCGATAAAACTTATCGGAGAATAAATGAAATATTTAAAGCTAATTTTTATTTTTCTTCAGTTTAAACTAAAGGAAATATATCGGAAATACCGATTATTTTTAAATAAAATAAAAATAAAAATGTCAAATATTTAATATAGAATATTTGTTGTATTATTTTAACGATAAATATTTAATATGGAATATTTGTTGTATTATTTTTAACGATATTCAGCTATAAAATAGGAACAAAATGCAGTTCTTGAAAACGAGCTGAAACGTTTATGAAAATGAGTGATTTGGCTTTTAAATTCACTTTTGAGTTACAATAAAACTGGTCCTTCTGCTTATTCCTGAATGATTTTTAGTTCTGCTGTTATTACTGAGTTATTAAACTATTATTATTGTATTATTATTGCTGTGTGTAACCTGTGCTATTATTACTTTTGAAAAGTTCGAAATTTTAAAGCAAACATATTCATCTTAAGAACTTGAATTTTTTTTACACTGCTTATAAATTTCAGTTCTATACATTTGTGTATCTAGCAACACTTAAGAAATTAACTATTCATATTTGCTTATGAATTATTATTATTTATTATTTCATAAGAAACTATAAAACAATTCTTGAAATTTATCTACGTTTTATGCCCATAGGACATAGGCACTGATGTGTATTAGTTTCGAAGAGATATACTAGCTTTTCGTATTAGCACTGTAAATGCTATTAACGCGGGCTGTTTGCTTGATTTAATAAACTTGTATTCAAAACAGTAGTATCCATAGTTAATTGTACCCGTTTAGAAGTAATATTATTTCCAACAGCTTTGTTTTAAATTCTATCCCATAAAATATAATTTTTGGAAATTAAAACTTCATATTAATAAAGCATTTCTTGTTACATATTGCACGCTTATAACCTCTTTACCCAAACCTTGAAGTAGTGCTAACTTTGTTAACTTATTTATCAAATTTTGATGCATTAAGTAGCTGCAGTTATTGCGGTTGCTAAAGTGGATGTTATGAAAGAATGGAAGTAGTAACATTACGAAGAAAATTCGTGATATCCAACTTTCAAGATACTTGGAATACATCCAGTAGATTTCGCGACATGAAAAACAGGGTGGTTCAGCATTTATCTCTCGTTAGTTTTTCTAACTTTATTTCGAATTCTTTCCTAACTTAAAATTCAACAAACAGCATAACATGCATGTAATTAACTAGTGTGATATTAAACTAACTGTGTAAATAAAATAATATTTTTATTATCATATTTCTTAACGATTGTGATTTGATTTTGTTCTTTACAGAGAAAAGGAGATTTTTATCCTAGTTCTTGCTTTTTTGGTTTTCGCTCGTCTGTTAATAAATGCATTTAATTATTGGATCGAATTCGAAGGTTTATATTAGTGAGCTGAAGTATTTCCAAAGAAGGTATTTGTTCCTTTCCCCGAGTACTGAAAAACACAGTACATAAATAATATGGTTTCCCGAAAGAGTAATGAAAGCTTTTGAAGGTAAGAAAAGTTATTTATCCAAGAACTACAGGGATTTCTTTGAGTTTTACCTGCATGCTTGAGCTCAACGATTGACGTCATAGCGAGTGAAGAGAATCCGATTTGTATTGGCTTTTCTGTACGATGAATTAAATCAGCTTTGACAAGACGCACTAACGCAGTATGACAAACTAATACAATATTCTCGTGCAAAACTATTTACACAATACGCTTCTGTCTTCAAGGTAGTTTAACAGATTTATAAATAAAACATAATAACAGTATTCAGGTTTCCAGTATTATCTTTAGTTTTAATGACACAATTAAAATATGTAAAGTACAGGCTGGGTTCTGTGCATAAATTAGGCTTCTTTTTATCATGAAAACTGATAATCGAGTTCTTAATAGTATCTCAGATGTACATATTTAATGTCAGACATATATTTTTTCTTTGAAAGAATCCTGATTTAGTTATCAGCCTTATATTTAAAGAATATATTACAGTATCTTCTCTTTATTTATGCAAAGCGTGTTTATTCTCTTTGTGATTTTGGTGACGAGTCGCTGAAAATTTTACCCAGTAAGATTACAGTCACCGTTCAATTGAAAGATAACTTCTTTTAACCTAAAAATCAAGTATAAATATTAAGTACCTAGCTAGCGATTTCAGTAGCACAGAAGGAGTGTGTCTGTCTGTGTGAAGAAGCTCTTGAGTTCGAATTTCAGTTTGCATGTCTGTGACACAAACAGGAAAAGTAGCTCTGAAGAAAGATAGCTGCATCTGTTTAGAGCACAGCCAAAATGAAGACCTCTAGAACAAGCAAGCACAAGGCTAGGCATTTCCTTGTTGCATATAGTTAGAGCATATCCTGTGATGTTGTGTCTTGTGACAAAATGTCAAAATTTTACTTGCGGTGAGAAAAATCAAAATTAAAGCAAACCCTCATAGGGTAGTTAAAGAGTATGAGAATCTGAATATTAACTTCTCATGGTCTTTTTGTGTTGATTTCCGTGAAACATTGAGAACACTCAGAGAATTGGAATTAGTGCACAGAATTACGTTGATTGCTTTTATAGTGATGCTTTCATTGCGTAATGAACATCTTCTGTACCCCGATAAATTAAAAAATGCATGAGTCTACAAAAGAAAATAAATGCAGTGCAGACTTTACGTTAGTTGCTAAGCAACAATACTCTTTCGTAATATATCCCCTGCTTTTAAAAACACGATTGTTAAATATATGTAATCTGCATTACTTGCAGGTATTCATTTAAATCGTAATGATTGTATTTTATAACCGTATATCATTCTAAGCGTTATATGTATTTTGAATTATGACATCAAGAGTGTGTCATCTGTGCAGTAAACTAAATTTGCCAAAGCATTTCAGCATGCATACAGAAGTTAGTGCACCTACATTCGTCATAATCCTAAACTCTGAACGAGTTCATTCTCTGAAATTCAGATTTCCGTATAGGTTTTTTTCTACGTGGACGGATTATATTGAAGTTATTTTTATATCAAGATGGCTAATTAGTAGATGAAAGATTTCGAACAAAGGAAAAAATGAAAGGACTAAAAGATATCAAGATTCAGGCTTGTCAAACGGTAATCTCTCATGAAAAGAACTGAAGCTACTGAAAATTTACAAAATTATTTTTGCACAAGCAGATTCGTTGCCAAAGCCAAGTAGCAGCGCGATAATACCGCAGATTGAACCGACTCAACAATGAGAGTAAGCATACAATGTGTAGTTCCGATATTCATGGTACAGCAAAAATCTACTGAATACGGCTAAGGTGTTAAATTTGTGTCTTTACAGAATTCGGTCTTTACGCATTTATAAAGTGATACTGAGAATAGGAAGGAAGGGCTTTGATAAATGTCGCCGAAAATCCACAGTGTCTACTAATTATGTGGCGCACAACTGGGAAGCAATGTTTCATCGCGTGGATACACTAAATATGAATAAGTTTCGAGTCTAGGTGAAGAGAATGAATAGGTGTGTACAGAAATGCTCCGATTCCTGCTACACTGAATGCATAAAGCAATCCGAAACAGTCTAAGACAGAAATCAGTATGGCAATGTGTAACTCATTCGCAACTCTGCACAAATATGTACAATTAACATAGGTATTTATGTGGCAGAAAATTGAATGTGTGCATAATAGTATGTCGAAATTACAGTACAATAGAATTATTAATTATGCTAAAGGAAAAACTGCA